TCAACTGGGTATTCCTTCTTCCTAGATGTACAAATACTACATACCATCAGGTCTGGAGACATTACATACTACAGAACTGACCAACACACAGAAAAAAACAGCTTTAGAGCTCAAACGCATCTAGCACTTCCATTCTTTTGACTATGTGGGGAAAGGACAGGTATGTTTAGACTCACACATTAAATTATCTGAAATCAGAACCCAGCAATGACTATTTCAGGTGATTATCAATCCATCAAGTAGCAAAGAAAAGGTAAGAAACCTCTTCCTCTAAAATTAAGAAAGCATGGTATTGTAGAAAAAGATACATTAACATACTAAAAAGATTTCTTATACGGCTGGCTCCCACGCCACAAACATCTCATCAAATTCTGATCCAGAAGCGTAATAAAAAGGAACATCAGCTTCTCCAGCCACAGCTCGGGCAAGAAGTGTCTTTCCTGTCCCTGGTGGTCCAACCAAAAGAATTCCTAAAAGATAAAGCAAACATGAATGGAGTTAAACAACAAAGAACACTGATAAGAACCTAGCAAAGGAACAATGGTTGATTGATAGTTTTGAGGCTGAAGGCAAATCAGTGACCAACCACTGCTTTGAAGCACAATAAAAATATTCGTCTCCATTAATGATTCACTTCTGAATCATCTCCATAATTAATTTTTCTGTATCATTTAAATACTGCTTACATAAAAGCCATAGACAAGACAGAATTTTGAAGGAAAGGAATATAAAATATTTAACATCAAATATGATAAAATGTAAGTTTTAAATAAATAAATAAATAAATCACAACAATAAAGTCATTTTGTTGAGTAATGGAAAAAAAATAGAAAAACCAAACTGAGAAACATTCTACACATTAACTAGTACTCTCAACACAAGTGCTAAGATCAAAAAAGACATCCGCCCCCCACCCCATTTACACAAGAGGATGAGGATTTATTTTTTTAAATTAAAGAAAAATCTAAATGTTGTGTGAAGGGAGCGTAATATCTACAATTTATTCTCAAATAGTTAAACACGTATGTAAATACATGTAAAGAAAGCAAATGAGCAAATGGAAGAAAATGTTTTTAAAAAGTCGAGTTTAAGAGTAAAGAGTATGAAGAGAAATCTCTATACCATTTTTGCAACTGAAATTTGAAATGAAAATAAAATTTTAAATTACAAAAAAACCCCAAAATTGTTCATTCAGAATGAATGTATATTTGTGAAACACAAATTAAGAGCTAAACCTCAATAAGTTGAATCTGATAAAAATTAAATTAGTAACACACAGAATTTTTAGATGTCAGTTTTGGTAAAAAGAAGATATCTTACCTTTTGGAAGTTTTCCTCCAAGTACAGTAAATTTTTGTGGATTTTTCAAGAATTCAACAACTTCTTGTAATTCTTGTTTAGCTTCCTCCACCTAAAGTGACACACCAAATAAATTAATAATGATTATATTACTGAGGCATCCTTTTTTGACAAGATACACTTAACAGGAAACTAATTTGGGCTTTCTATTTGTTTTAGTGAAAGTAGTATACAAAAAAGCCCTCTGACAGATACAACCAGAGAGGATTTTCTCCTGATCCTTAATGCTAATTATCTAATCTCCTTATATATCCCAACAAAATCCATTTTCACTTCTTACATTTTCAAGAAATAATACTTTACTTCCTCTGGTTAACAAGGATGATGTTCAAACTGTTAGTACAATCTGTCAGTGGCATTTGATATAAACAGAAGGAGTCATCTAGTAACTTTCAAATCCAGACATTTTTTGTACCTGGTTAAAAACTGCAAGGGCATTTGAGTGGATTTATAATGTCTTTTCTTTTTTTTAAAATTTATTTATTTATGCAACAAGAGCTGGGGCACAGGCCAGAGATGGGGCGCTGAGAGGATTCACCAGAGACAGAGTGGGGAACAGAACAGGCAGACTGACTGAAATACAAAATACAAAATCACAAAAATTTGCTGCTGAGGGGAGCAGCAGGCAAGACAGGATAGGTCTGCTGTGCCATGTGGGTCACTTCCAATAGCCAGGAATCGAACTAGTGTAGTTGCGGATAGCTTCACAGTGCTGACGCTTAACCCCTTGTGCCACCAGGATTTGTAATATCTTAATGAGAAAGAAGTGTGTGGTTAACATTAATTTGTGGTTAATTATGGGTTGTTTTCATTTTAAAGACTCATTACTAGATTATAAGCCATTCATTTCTTAATAAATGCCAAAAAAACTGACTAAAATTAAGCCATGGTGAACTGATATTATTTTATAAATGGCTGTGACAAAAAGTTTAGAAGATTTAACCTCCAAAAACAAAACATGCAGACTTGAGATCCACAGCAAGAATAAACTCTAATCTCGCCAACAAAGATGGCAAGCAGGACATGAGGTCAATTTTTAAAACTTGGATAGGTTCAAGAAAATTGCTTATAGAAATGGTGTGCAATTTTCCTAGTTAGCATACAACCAGAAGTCACAAATATAAATACCTTTTCCAGAAAAATACCAGAAATAGGTGCCTACAGTGAGAGTATGATGACAACATGCTGAACTGAAAAGCATCAGTCCACTGAAGGTTAACACCATGACTGCTCTACCAGGGAATAGAGACCCAGTTTCCAGCCTTTAATTTTTCAAGCAAACAAACCACTTTTTGTGAAATTTTCCAGTTTAAAAATGTTGCCCACCAATTTAAATTAAAAATGTGTTTGTATATATACTGATTTACATTTATTTTCAATTATACTGGACAAACACTACATTTGCAATCAATTTGCAACCTCTCACTAGACTACTTTAAAAGGCTCTCAGTGAGAAAAAAGACCTCAAGTATTTTGGGCAGGGTTAAAAAGAAACTCCCTGGGAAGAAATGTACTAAGATATAAAAACACAAGTTTCAGCAAAAGGACGTTCTGAAAATCCAGTTAAACTCAGGATCATCTGAGAGTCCTAGCACATCTCCTAGGACTATTTTCATGAACATACAGCTGAACAAGCAGGTTTTTTGTTAGGCTACGAATAATCTTTAAAAGTTATTCAGATTAAATTACTGAAGTTCACTCAAATGTTTATAAAGTTAATGGTTAAAAGCAAACCTGTCTACTTCTAGGCCTAGGAGTGTGTAACTGCTCCCCAAGATATGTGTACAAGAATACTCAAAGTAGCACCACTTGAACCAAAACTAAAAACAACTCAATTTTATATTTTTTTAAGCATATGCAGTATTATGACATTCACAGAATTCTATGCAATGAGGACAAATGAATTACTCTTCCACGTAACAATATGAATAGATCTCATAATCATTGTGCTGTTAAAAGAAGCCACACATACCAGCCATGTTACCATTTAAGTAAAATTTAAGAACAGGCCAAATGAATGCATGATACTAGACAGAACAATGATTATAGTTGGGGTGAGAACAGATAATAACTAGAAAGAAACACTAGGAAGGTTGTGGTAATATTCTCTCTCTTGACCTGGGTGACAAGTGTTTATTGTGTATTTATTAAGGTATACACTTACAATTTGTGCTTTGTTGTGTGAATTTTAAGCTTCAATGAAATGCATGCTTAAAAAATAGTTGATTGGATTCTTAAAATATATATGTTGATTGGATTCTTAAAATATATATATACACACACACATACTTTTTTAAAGAGTTATTTATTTATACAAGAACCAGGATACAGGCCAGATGTGCAGGAAGGTGAGAGGATTCACCAGAAACAGAGCGGGAACAGAACAGGCAGACTAACTGAAATACACAGGTGAGGGGAGCAGTGGTCAAGACAGGAGAGGTCTGCCGCACCATGTGGGTTGTTCTGCGGCCGGCGGGGATCAAACCAGCACTGCAGAGGCTGCGGATAGCTTCCCAGTGCTGCGCTCAACTGCCTGCACCACCAGGGAGATGGCTAAAATGTATATTTTTTATTTATTTATTTTTTTTTAAGAGATTTCAAAATATTTTTTTTTTTTTTTTTTTATAAATTTTATTGTTATATTCCCCATACAATTGCAGCCCCCCATTCTGACCCCAATCCCTCCCCTCCCGCCCCGCCCCCCTAAAAGTGTCTCTGGTTCATAGTTTTTGTTGATTTTGATTTTCACTTTCTTATAGTTATTTATAAATGTATATTTTTTAGATTCAAAGTATCCATATACTAAAAGAAGACCAAACTACATTTGATTAAGGTAACAGATAACTTTAAACTACAGGAAAAAAGGAAAAGAGATTAAATATCTGCAACTCAAATTATTTTCTCTCCCCAACTTCTGTGGTAAGAGAACTCAAGCTAGGAATACGACAACTATGGAAGAAAACAGGGTTAAGAGGCTCAAGGCAGGGCCTCCCCGGTGGCACAGCGGTTGAGCGCTGAGCTGCGAAGCTGCCTGCGGCCTCTGCGGCGCCGGTTCGATCCCCGGCTGCTCCCCGGCCACCGGAGGAGGGTCCCACATGGCGCGCAGACCTCTCCTGCCGCCCGCTGCTCCCCTCAGCAGTGTACTTCGGTCCTTCTGCCTGCTCTGCTCCCCGCTCTGGCTCTGGTGAATTCTCTCGCCCTCCCCTGCTTCTGACTGTACCCAGTGCATGTATAAACAAACAAACAAATAAATAAAATATGCCTCTATTAAAAAAAAAATTTAAAAAAAAAAAAAGAGGCTCAAGGCAGTGAAAAACCGCCCTTATGAGTATTTTTATGGTAGTGATGTTCAACATCACTAATCAGCAGGAAAATGTAAATCAAAGAAAGAGATAATCACCTCATACGTACTAGAATAAAAAAGACCAATGTCCTACAATTCAGTTCTGAAACTAACTGGAGATAGCATCAGATCCCACAGGCTAAGGGCTGAGTGAGTTCCATAAGACCATCCTCAATCCCACCCCACAGTCATCAGAAGCCAGTCCTAAATCCTGTGTTTCCAACCAACTGGTTATAAAATGAAGGTTCCCACAACCATTTCTCGTGTTTGATTAGTTTGCTAAAGTCGCTCACTGAACTCAGGAAAAGAAATTCCTAGGTTATTGCTTACTTATAAAGGTGTAATTTAGAACCAATCAGAGATGCACAGGGCAAAGTATGAGGGAAGCCATGCGTAACTCCCATGCCCACTCTCTTCGGGCATTCTCCTTTACTCTCCCAGCTCTTCCAAATGTTCCTTGAAATCCACAAAAAGCTCCTTGAAATCCACACTATTGGGCTTTCTTATGAATGTGAATAATTATTAACTCCATTTCTAGGCCCTCACCTCTCTCTAGAAGAAAATTCCAAACTTTTAACTTTTGGTGACCAGCCTCCATCCTGAAGCTAGCCAGGAGTACCATAAAGACAACAGAGTAAAAGAAAAGATGCTCTTATGACCCAGGAAATTCCAAAAGATTTAGAAGTTCTGTGTCAGGAACAGGGGTCCGAGGGTAAATATGAGAACAAAAGATGACCTTAGAACTCTTAACATTTAGGATATTACCAGGGTTTTAGCAGCTCTGTGCCAAGAAGCAGAGGCATAAACCAACATGTTTTCTCAATTTCCTATTTTTTAAATCAAATATTGACCATATACCATTTGATATGTCTGAAAAGTTCAAGGTAAACTTTTTAACTTACTCCTTTAACATGTTCAAAGGTGACATTTTTCATTTGGATAGGATCTACTGCAGAATCAAGTCCTGTTGTTGTCCGGAAGCGTACTAAGGGGAAGAAACGAAATGTGTATTTTAGACAGAACATAAAATTCCAACCATATTATTTTTCAAACAAGAAAGTCTAGAAAAATTAAATATCTAAGTTGACATATATTATAACACAGTGAGAAGCAGAAATTAGGTCTTCTGGATTTGTAGACTATGACCAAAAAATAAATTATTCATAGGGACCTCCCCTGTGGTGCAAGGGGTTAAGTCGCAACCGATGAAGCTATCCGCAGCCACTGCAGCACAAGTTTGATCCACGGCCAGGGAGGTACCCACATGGCGCAGCAGACCTCTCCTGTCTGCCTGTTGCTCCCCTCAGCAGTGTATTTCAGTCAGTCTGCCTGTTCTGCTCCCCACTCTGTCTCTGGTGAGTCCTCTCACCCCCACCCCCCACACCTCTGGCCTACACCTCAGTTCTTGTATTCATAAATAAATAAATCTTTAAAAAAATAAAAAATAAATTATTCATATTCAAATGACAACTTTGTAATTTCCAATTAAAACTAGGAATTATTTTCCTTTCCTCCCTGTAAAATCTATTAACTGAAAATATTAAACCAACAGTTCTCGGCAGATCTTGTCTTTTAAGACTGCCCATCTGTGTCTATGTAGGAGTCTCTCCTTTTTCTCTTTTCCTCTTTTCCTTGCTGAGGAAGGAAAAAAAACAACAGTTCTCAATCTCCAGTGAACATAAAATTGCTTGAAAATGTGTTAAGGTTCACAGACCACAGCCCAACACTTCTGACTTGTAGATTTAAGAAAGGGTCCAGAAAAGTCTTATTTTTAACAATCACCCTCTATTAACCTGATACAGCTAGTCTGGGATCTAGTCTTTGAAATACATTGCCTTAAGACAAACATAAAAAACTAGCAAAACCATTAAAAAATGAAAGGGGAAACAGATTATTTCACTTTTCATGTAGCTGCCTTCTTCTAACAACTGTTATTATTTGGCCACAGAAGATGTATCAGTAACAACACAATTAAGTGTAAGAAAAATGTAAAAGCTTGGTAAGAAAAATATTTGACATGAATTATGGGCAACTATTACAAAGCCCTCCCCTTTTAGCAAGATTCCACAGTAGACATATAAATGATTAAACTAAGCAATTTCTAATCTCAGAAGAAGCCAAAAATATCATCTTTAAGACAAACTAAAATTGAAAAACAAAAGTGATTAAGCAAAAATATAGTTAACTAGAACTTCTTAACATACCAAGAGCATAAAAGTTGAGAGTAAATTTAAAGCAGTTAATTTCAGAATAGATAAAAAATAGTTTAGTGTAGACTTAAACGACATTATGATTGTATTCTGGGATGGCAAAATAAGACATATTGACTCATTTAAAGTTATCTTTAAATAAATTTTTATCTTTGAAACAGCTATTTCACTTTATATTGCTATTATAAATTCCTATGCATTTAAAAAAATTTTATAGCTAGATATGTATCATTTTATAAAAATCTAGTAAAACTAACCACTACTAGAACATTTTTACTCTAACATAATCCTTGGAACGCTAACAAAATATTAATATTTCAACAAAACAAGTAAAACTTGAATTTCTACAGTGTTAAAAAAAAATTTTTTTAAATACATAAAACAATGTTAAAGTAATACGACAAGGCAGATGGTACATAATCCTAATAGACTGATGTGATCCCAAAGTCACCCATTCTGAGAAGTCTTGATTTAGGAATGAAAGGACTAGATTTTGGAATGATAAACATTAATGTTTTCTTTCTCTAAGTTCTACGCAGACTGACTATGAAATAGAAACATTTAAAGATTTTTTTTAAATTAGTAAGTGAGATAAATAGAGTATTTACCAGATAAAAATGGGTTTTTTAAGAGTCCATAAATACCAAGCAGCAACAGAACAAAGAGAATCATCCGAGTTCGCCTTAGAGAATCTGGAGAAAGAAAAGACAACTCGATGAAATGCAATTATTAGGTTACTGACGGCAGTGATAGTTTATCACATGTACTTTTGTAACTTGCATTCTTTTGTATAATAGCCATGCTTTCCTTTCTGCACGGTTACCAAAAACTTCATGAAACCACTCACAGATCTGCCCTCTGGTTTCTCGGCAGCTTAAGTTACAAATATAGAAGCATATAACCCATGGCAAGTTAGATAACTCTTAGGAAAGTTACTTAACCACTTAAAAGAGTTAGAACTATGACTTCCTTTCAAAACAGTCCTCTCAAAATGGATGGTGTCAAATCAACTTACCATTGGTCTTTTGTGTCAGTGCCTGAGCTTTTAGAAAACCCTCTGCAAAACCAGTTTTAAATGCATCTTGGTGAGCTTCAGGTATGTTTTTGGTTTTCATGAGCTTGTCCAAATTCTCAACATCTGATCCTCTGTCCCGTAAAAGAAATCCCTACATAAGAAAACAATATATCAGTATTGGTTACTTTATATCTAATGACACTCCTTAGAAATAGCGTTATTCACAAAAAATTTATTAAAATTCTAAAAATAAAAGATTTTTTTTGTCAATATGAGTAATTGGATTAAGTCCCAACAATAAACCTGGAGACTAACAGTGGACCCTATTTGTATATCAATCATTAATTATAAAGAAACTCTGTAATAACACTATTTTGATAATAGCTAATAGGTCAAATGTTGACTTAGGATTCTAATGGCTTCATGTTCATACTCCTTTACCTCTGCTAGAAGGAAAACCTCAGTAATATAATAAATGTTCACTGACAAATCTCATATATTTGGCATAACTAATGATCTGAAAGTTTTAGGCTATTGCAGAGAGATATGTAAATTACTTAATTTTTTAAATTGTGTGGATAGGTGTGGTAGTAAAATATATGTTACCTAAGGAAGTCAAGAAAGGCCTTAAAGAGAATGGGATAGTTAACTAAACCACAGGGAAAAAAGGGCACAAACAATATGACAGAGGAGTCAAGAATAGCTTCAGTGTTTGAGAATGGCAAACAATCTTGTGTGACAGGACTTTAAAATAATATAAAAAGGAGAGCAAGGTACAGCCAGGAAGCACATTAAAAGATGAGACTAGAAAATGGTAGGCAGAGGTCAAATGATAAAATGCTGTGTACCATGGCAGAAGATGACAATAAAACAATGGAGTACAATTATTACAGTAAAAGACTTTAGACACACTGGTGGGAGGCAGTGTAGAGAATAGACTTGGGCCTCCCTGGTGGCATAGGGGCTAAAGACAGTGCTGTGAAGCTCTCCCCAGCCACTACAGCACGAGTTCGATCCCCCACCAGCCAGGAAGCTACCCACATGGTGTGGCTGATGTCTCCCACCTCCCTGCTGTTCCCCTCAGCTGTGTATTTCAGGCAATCTGCCTGTTCTGCTCCCCACTCTGTCTCTGGTGAGTCCTCTCACTCACCCCCACCCACACCTCTGTTCTATACCCCAGTTCTGGTATGCATAAAGAAATAAATCTTAAAAAAGGGAATAGACTCAAGGTAGCAAAACAAAAGGCAAGGATACTAAATAAGGGTTTATGAGTATAATCTAGGTAAGAAATAGTCATATTCTATCTGTGCAGTGGAACTAGTAATAAAGAAAAAGATTTAAGATACTATTTAAGAGGCTGGATCAACAAGACTTTAGTGATTAATGGATGTGGCAAATGAAAGATGAACACAGCTGATCACACCAGGTTTCTACCCTATGTAGAGGCTACTGATTAACACAGATAACATGTATGTAGGTGTAGGTTGGGTAAAAAAATCAAAGGAAGATGTCTAATAGGCAAGTGAAGAGACAGGTTTGGCACTCAGAAGAGTTATAGATATAATGACCACAGAGATTATTAATCTTTAGTAAGTGGGAAATTAAACATGGAGATTCTTATTTTAATAACTTGAAAATTGCTTATTTGAGGGGGGGAAAGGTCTAATTACCTTCACAAATGATGGTGCTATATGCTGTGTTTCTGCTAACCTTTCAGAAGTGGATTGTAGACGTCGTGTCCTTGATTTCAAGGTTTTAAAACCTCGAGACTGTATGAAAACTGAATAAAACAGTATCATATTTAGATCTCTTAAGTTTTTACAAGGAAAAAAAATGCTGAAGATTCAAAGGTCTGACATCATATCCATATACCCTAGATTATCTTATTTTTAACCCAGTTATTTCCTATTACTAGAATAATGCAGTGGTTATAATTCTTGTACACATAGTTAATTCTTAGAATCTCTCATAATTCCTAAAAGTAAAATTTTAAGCTTTAAACTGTTTAACACTAAGAAACTCCCCTCTAAATTGTTATTTATACCATGAATTTATACACCCACCAATGAATTATCCACACTTTATGCAACAATGAATAGTATAAATATAAATCCTTTAAACTTGTACAAATCTAATACACAAAATGTTATAATTTAACTCCATTCTTTTTTTTCTTTGTATATACATTGTTCAGAATCACCAAATTACTGCTGGACCAACACAGTACACAATTAGCTCTTTTTTCTCATGTTAAGGAGATCCTAATATTCATAGGTATCCATAGGAACTTTAAAGTTTCTTCCTAAGAGTTTCAATTTTGTTTTTTAAGATTTATTTTTATTTATTTATGCATACAAGAATTGGCATATAGGCCAGAGGAGGCGGGGGTGGGTGGGTGAGACGATTCACCAGAGACAGAGTGGGGAGCAGAATAGGCAGAGCTACTGAAATAAACTGCTGAGGGGAGCAGTGGGTGAGACAGAAGAGGTCTGCCTCACCATGTAGGTTAGCTCTCTGGCCAGGCATGGAACTCATGCTGCTGTGGCTGGAGATAACTTGATAATGCTGAGACTTACCCCCTGCATTATCAGGGAGGCCCTTCTTCCTAAGAGCTCTTAGGAATTTGGAATAAAAATATATCACAGGCACCTCCCTGGTGGCACAAGGGGTTAAGACGCAACCTATGAAGCTATGCGCAGCCACTGCAGCATGAGTTCGATCCCTGGCCAGGGAGCTACCCACATGGTGCAGCAGACCTCTCCTGACTTACCCACTGCTCCCCTCAGCAGTGTACTTCAGTCAATCTGCCTGTTCTGTTCCCTACTCTGTCTCTGCTGAATCCTCTCACCCTCCACACCTCTGGCCTGTACCCCAGCTCTTGTATGCATAAATAAATAGATTTAAAAAATATATATCACATAACCTTTTATCATACAATAAACTAACATTACTTTATTCCCTAATCAATTAACATGCTTAAAAGGGATCTTTAAATTCCCATATATTCAGGGAATTTAGCTATGTTCTTTAGTTGACTTCAGTCTTATTACATGATCAGAAAAAGATCTGAGTCACAACATTAAGAAAATTTACTAATACATGCTCAATTTTTATGTTTTACATAAATATTTAAAAACAGATCATCCTTCAGTAGTATTGTCTTCTGCAGTAACCATTTCATTAGAGGATTTCTTCAGAGGCACTGAGCTGCACACCATTTTGCTCAACTTGGTGCCTGTCACACTACTTGTTTTTCTCAAATATGTGAGATTCCCGCTATTTGCATTTTAAAGAAGAGTATTACCAAGGTGGTACATGTATTTCAACATCAAAATAAGGACTTATGGTGACTGAAAATACCTTCAGTGTTTGATCTAAGACCAAAATAATTGATACACTGTCCTATTTCTCTTTAATATCAATACTCAAACAAGGAGTCTGCAGAGACAGACTCCTCCCAAAATGTATTCATGCATGCACACACACATATATACACAGGTACACATCTTATTATAAAGGTGCTTTTACCAACTGTAGCCTGAAAATTAGAAACCATATCATCCTGTGTTTGGTCTACTTCTGACAATCTTTCCACTGTTTACTCTCTCAACCACCTGAGAGCCTGTTATTGACTTGGAATTTTCCTAAGTTTTAATGGAAATAGTACACATCTCTTTCATGTCATTCTACTCCATGAAGATAAGTAATGCCTGTTTTTTCAATTTAAAACTAATCACTATCACCTAACACCTATCATTAGTGCCTGGTATTAAATAAATATGAAGATATATTTGATTTTGTTATCAATTTAATGTCATCTACATTACAATTTATAGAAAGCAGTCAAAATTTCTGATCCATTGAAAAAGAAAATTCAAACTATATTAAACCTTTCTTTTTCTTTCAAAATACAATTGTTGCTTCTTACCTGGCCAGTCCTGAAGAGCTGAAGAAATGCTTTTAATATTTCTTGAATTTTGCCTATATAAGCAAGAAGATCGTAAAGTACCAAACATGTCTAAGTAACCTGGAAAGAAATTGAAAAAAGTAAATACTCTAATTGCCAAACTAAAAATCAAAACAAAACAAAGTCTTCTGAAGTGAAATAATTTTACTAAGTATTAGAAAAACCAAAGTATATTTTGCCTTTTATTTGTCCATCTATGACTCCACTTTTATAAATATCTAAAAGCAGGTCTTCCTGGTGGCGCAGATGTTTGAGTGCAGCGCTGTGAAGCTGCCCACAGCCTCTGCAGTGCCGGTTCGCGGAGATGCCCACATGGCGTAGCAGACCTCTCCTGTCTCGCCCGCTGCTCTCCTCAGCAGTGTATTTCAGTCAGTCTGCCTGTGTTCTGTTCCCCACTCTGCCTCTGGTGAATCTTCTCACCCCCCGCATCTCTGGCCTGTACCCCAGCTCTTGAATGCATAAATAAATAAATCTTCAAAAAATATATCATCCAAAGAGAAACTCATGAAGCTGACATCCTTTTCAACACACTGCCCACTTATTATAATACCAGACTGTTACAAGTCAAAGAAGAAAACAGGTGGGTGTTTTGTAAAAGAAAGGATCATGACTGGTTCTTAACTGTATCATCAGAAATCAGTAATCCAGCAAATGTTTGTCACCTTACAAGCCAAACCTGTTCCTGGAACAGAAAAAGGAACCTTGTGGAAGACTAGTGATTTGTTGATATTAAATTTTATTAAGAAAAATCTAAATAAAATCTATAGTTCAGTTTAAAATACTGTGCTGATGTTTTATCTTGGTTTTGGTAATTGTATCATGGTTATGTAAGTAGTCAGTATTAGCAGGAGTCAGGTGAAGGATATATAGGAACTCTGTATAATCTTTGCAACTTTCTGTAACTCTAACTTATTCCAACATGAAAAGTTACCCAAAGCGGAGAAGGAACAGCTCAGGAAAGAATTTGGCACGTACATTCTGAAAGTTAATAAATTGCACCTTTTATAATTCATTATTAACAGTACTAAAATGGTTAATTTTACTTGGAACAAAAAATATTAACTTACCATATTTATTTTCAAAGAAGGACTGTGCAGAGATGTGAGAAGTATGCCAATGGGAAGAAACTTTTTTGTCTTTACAAAATCCAGGAAGTAGACTGTCTACCAGTTGATCAATCTGTCCAATTTTCAGTTCAGATAATCCAAGGTCCCTCAAATTAAGTACAGACTGTAAAAGATTAAGTCAACCAAATAAGCATTAATATTATCAAGACTTATCAATCATATGAGGTTTGACTAAAGTTAAAAAATTCTATTTCCAATGTTATCACCAGTTCATAGAGCTTTATAACTTCCTCCAATGCCTAATACCCAGATACAACAGCTTATTTGATAAAGAAAAGGTATGCCGTGTTACCACAGGACATCTTACTCCTCTGGCCTCATTGCTGAGATCCCTCTATGAACAGAGAAGTTCTACAGTTACCCACATCTAACTTTTAAAAAGGAGGGGAACATAAACAAAGTCAAAATGTGTGAAAACTGGGGAGAAAATACACTCATCTTTAAACAGTTCTAAAGTAATTACAAATAGGATAGTGAGCTATTTTCTTATCCACACGAGCTGACAAGGAGATATTAAAGACAGAAAATATTTATATCAGCTAAAAGCTCAAGTAAAAAGAACCAAAGTAAACAGAACAAGTGTCAGTTTCTTATGATGGATGTAAAGTTAGAGCCAGAAATCACATAGCTCTGGATTGATGCTGAGGGCCATGTAACTTATCAGCTATGTCATAAGTCACTCATAGTCTTAAAATTCATTACCTCATTAGTGAAGTGACTATGAAATATGCCCTGACTATTTCACAACAAGATAGTGTGTCTCAAAGAAAAAGATCATGCCTTTGTTCATCTAAGTATCTTAACATAAAAGCATGACAGAATAGTTAAAAGTGCCTCTTAAGCTACTAAAGACAATACAATACAAAGGATATTGTAATTAAAACAGAAGTACAATACTTAAGAGCTACTATTCAAGTTACTATTTAAAATGGGAAATCAAAAATTCTTATTTATATACTTAGACATTAAAAGGAAAATGAAGTTTCTTCACTAAGAGAATAATTTTTCCTACTTACTGCGTGTCAGATACTAGGAACATAAAGAGACACAAAGTACATGTAAACAACATGGTAACTATTATTTTTATAGAGTAATACTTGAAAAAGTGGTGTGAGAACACAGGACACACAAAGTGTCACTGAAGTCTTCTAATATACAAAATGAGAGGGAGGAGGTTGTGGGGAAGGGAGCAAACAGAGTCACCAAAAGGCCAAGAATATTTGAAACGTAGTAAAAAGTTTAGTGTTGGAAGAAGAGATTAGAAAGTGGGCCATGGTCAAATTATGCAGAGTCTTGTTTAATGTGGTTAGCTTTGTTTTGTAGGAAGAACACAGACAAATAAGACACACTGGATGAGAGTAGGTTCATGGAACAAGAGGAAAATGGTATCAGCCTGAACTAAGCCTTGCTAAGGATGGAAATAACAAATCATAGCCTACAGACATTTCAAGAAACCAAGAGTATAGTGATCGAGAGGGAAAAGGGTTTTCTGGATGGATGTACTGGTTATCAATTTGTTTTCCAGAGTCACTCTTCATAATTTTTTTTAAGATTTGTTTTATTTATTTATGCATATAAGAACTGGTATGTAGGCCAGAGTTGTGGGGGAGAGGGGAGAGGAGAGGATTCACCATAGACAGAGTGGGGAGCAGAACAGGCGGATCTACTGAAATACCCTGCTAAGGAGAGCAGCAGGTGAGACAGGAGAGGTCAGCTGAGCCTTGTGGGTTAGCTCCCTGGCAGGGGATGGAACTCATGCCGCAGTGGCTGGCAATAGCTTCATAGTGCTGAGACTTTAACCTCTGTG